CTGGTAGAGTTCATCCAAATTCTTTGTTAAAATAATTCCTAGTATTTATTTTTGAAGATATTGTAAATGGAATTGTTTTCCAGTATTTGTTCTCAATCTGTTCATTATTGGTGTGTAGAAAGGCTACTGACTTTTGTAAATTGATTTTGTATCCTGCTACATTGCTGAAGCTGTTTAGGGTGTTTAGGAGATTTTTGGTAGAGTTTTTGGGTCTTTTTAGTATAAGATTATGTCGTCTGTTAACAGAGATAATTTGATTTCTTTCTAACCTATTTTTATGCCTTTTATTTCTTCTTCCTGTCTTATTTCTCTGGTTAGGAATTTCAATACTATGTTAAATAAGAATGGAGAGAGTGGGCACCCTTGTCTTGTTTCTGACTTTAAGGGAAATGGTTTCAGTTTTTCCCATTAAGTATGTTAGCTGTAGGTTTGTCATATAAAGCCTTTATTATTTTGAGGCATATTCCTTCTAACACTAGTTTCATCAGCTTTTTTCATGAAATGGTGTTGATCTTTAATTGGAGACTTTTTGTGTATCTATTGAGATGTTCAAGAGGATTTTGTCTTTGTTTTTGTTAATATGCTGTATTACATTTAATGATTTGCATATGTTAACCATCCCTGCGTTCCCGGGATGAAGCCAACTTGTTCATGGTGAATGATCTTTTTGATATGCTGTTGAATTCAGTTTGTCATTATTTTGAAGATTTTTGCATCAATGTTCATTAAGGATGGCCCAGTTTAGGGATGAGTACAATACTGGCTTCATGAAATGAGTGGAAATATTTACAGTGTTGGTGCTAGTTTTTCTGAAAAGGTCTGGTAGAATTCAGTGGAGAATCCATCAATTTCTAGACATTTTGGGGAAACTCTATTGTTGCTTCAATCTTATTGCATGTTTTAGATCTGTTTTGGTGATTAATATCCTCTTGTTTCAGTTTTGAATGGCCATATATATCTAGAAACTTTTCCATTTCTTCTAAATTTCCAATTTATTTGAATATAGGTTTTCAAAGTAGTCTCTGATGATTCCCAGGATTTCCTTGATCTTTGTTGTTATCTCCCATATTTCATTTATGATTTTATTACTTTGGGTCTTTTCTCATTTTAGTCTGATTTGCCAGAGGTTTGTCAATATTGTCTGTTTTTTCAAAGAACCAGCTTTTTGTTTTGCTGATTCATCATATGGGTATTTTTTTTCTTATCTTTCCTCCATTTATTTCAACCTTTATTTTTATTATTGCTCTACTTCTGCTTGTTTTGAATTTAGCTTGTTCTTGTTTTTCTAGGTGTTCCAGATGCAACATTACATAATTTATCTGAAATATTTTTATGTTTTTAATATATGCACTCATGGCTATAAACTTTCCTCTTATGATTGCATTTGTTGTGTCCCTTAGGTACTGATAGGTTGTGTTTTAATTTTAATTAAAAACCAGGAAATTTTTGATTTCCTCCCTTTTTTCTTTTATGACCCAGTGATCATTGAGCAATGTGTTGTTCAGCCTCTAATTGTTCACTTATTTTCTGCTGCTTCTTTTATTTTTGAGTTCTAGTTTCATGGCACTGTGGTCAGACAGTATTCAGGATGTTATTTCAGTTTTGCTATATTTGTTGAGACTTGCTTTGTGCCCTACCATATGATCTATTTTGGAGAAAGTTCCATAGGCTGTTGAGAAAAATGTACATTGTACTGTTGCAGGATGGAATATTCTCTAGACGTCTGTCATTTCCATTAAATCAGTTCTAGAATTTCTTTGGTTTTTTTTTTGTCAGGGTGACCTATCTATTAGGGGACCAATTTAAAGTTATCTGTGGTTCATGGTATTGGTTATGGTAACAGTTTCACAGATCCATATTTGTCTCCAAATTCACTGAGTTGAATACATTTAATATATACAGTCTTGGGCATTCCAATTAGTCTTCAACAAAGTTCTTATGAAATTCCACATAAATGGAATTAAGAAAGGTCAGAATTGTTTCAGAGAATGAATCCATAGGATTTTATCACATCCCTTATAAGCAGCAAAAGAAAAGAATGCAGCAATATAGAAATAAAAATCGATATCACAGAAACAGAAAACAAAGAAAGGGATGCAACCCTAGTTGAATACATAATAACATGTTTACCTTTTATCCACAAATCTGGATAGCTCTCCCAATCTGTGTAACTTTTGCTTCAAGTAATTGATATGGATCTTGTTTTGCTATCCATTATCATTTTCAGGTAAACAAGATTTGGAGGTGGGGAGGTCAAATGTTTGAGATGATACTTAAGCTGACTTTATAGATGGTCATTTGATTTAACCTCAGAATCTCAAAATGCAACTATCTTTAATTGATGTTATTTGGTTTACAGGTTTTGGGAACCATTTCTCTCAGATTAGGTCTCTCTGCAGAAATAGCTTGTCAGTGCCAAGGAAATCCCTTTAGAATCAATGGAATATTTAAATTTTGTCTGAAGCTAGCATAATTATTGTCACTGACCTACAAAAAAAAATTGTCTAACATTTTGTAATTTATTCCCTAAAGTCTTCATGAAAAACATTTTTATTCTCAACGTCCTAAAAACAGAGAACATCAGGTGATAAGTCATATTAAATGTTTGTCAGTGAACTCAAGCTATGGGGAATGAATTCTAATTTATTTATATTATAAGCATGCAGAAATGTACATATTTTAAAATACTTTAATGTTTTTACATTTTATTCATGTAACAACTTTTTTAGTATAGTTCTTAAATTGAAGACATTATTGAAAGAAATAATGAGATAGTAAGTGGATCATTTTGACTATCAGCAATTATACAGGTAAAGTTACAAATGACCCTGTAGAACAATTCTGGGTTGTTTAGTAAAATTGATATATGATTAAGGTGAACTATTTTATTTTGCATTGGAGAAAAGAAAATGATTTTTCACTAGCTATGCTCTGATATAATATCTTCTAAATAAAATATTATTAAAAACTAAAGTATTTTCAGTTGATTTACTATTATGTGTTGCTAAAAATGATAATAAGCATTGTATGTATATTTTGACTATCTTTTCAAAACATTATAATTCTGAGGAACATTTTTAAGGTGTGGTAGATCTCAAATACAAATGGCAATTTATTTTATTCATTTAATAAGGCTCTACTGTTAAAACTCAAGAAGACCTTGCCATAATATATGACTGAGAAAAAAAGAACAGTACAGTAAATTAAGTCTAGACAAGAAAAAAAAAGAGAAATACTAACCAAAATATTTTTTGGAACAATTCCCTTTGAATAACTGTTGCAAGCTATTCTCCAAAATGGAACATTTGAAGCATGTAAGTCCAAAGTCTTTAGTAATTTCTGGGAGGAAAAGAAGATTATTTTATTGTTCTTTTTAAAGTATTTTGCTTCCAAAATTAAAATTTTGTAATGTTATAGCTACCAAACTATAGTAAACACATAATTAATTTTGATGATCATTGAACTCCAATAAATGTAGAGGTTAGGAGTAAATGAGTTTGTAAATTCAAAATACTAAATAAGTGGGGAACTTCCATGGAACAAAAATGAAGACATTGTTTTCTACATAAGAATTTTGACAGTATACAGATTGGGGCTTATGGAAAAATAAGCACATTATAAGTGAAGACTGTTATTAAGTCTCATAATGTTAGATATGGTTATAGGATACTTAAAAATAGAGACAAAAACTATTAGGATAAATGGACAATTAAGAGCAATAGCTCCTTAAGAAATTTGTCAGACAAGACAGGAGTAAGATCCAGAATGTGTTAAAATGAAAATAAAATTATTTTTACTTTAGTAGGAAAACATAAAAATGTTCTATATTCTTATCCTCTTTTAAATGATAAACAGATCTTTCTTTAAAATATCCCTTAGTGAGTTGGTATGGGAATGGTGACTAAGCTAGCAAAACTCACTGTGATTCTGTGCAACAATGGACTTCATTAAGCCATTAAGAAGAGTGAAATTGTGACATTTGCTGGACATTGGGGAGAATGGGAGATTATCTGTAACGTGAAATAAGCCAGTCCTAGAAAGATGAATATCACATATTTCACCTCATTTGTGGTACCTAAAGGAAAACAAAACAAAACAACAGAGAACATGATAGTAAAATAATTACTACTAGGGGTGTGAGAAAATAAGGAAAATTGGGGGAGTTGAGAGACGAGGTAAGGAAGAGCATTAGGGGGAGGTGAATATAACCAAAATAAACACTTTATATGTTTGTATGAAAATATCATGATAAAATTTCCTTGCTTTGTACTGTTTGCTTTATGCTAATAACGTTAAATATTTAAATGGTCTGAAGGACAATTTATTTTAAGCATTGCATTTATCCCATAGTAAAATATTTAGCACATTTTTTTTCCTGGAAAGAAGTTAACAAATGAAAATCTCTTTCAGGGCCAGGTGTGTGGTACATTACTGTAATCCCAGCTACTCAAGAGGCAGAGATAGGAAGATGGTGGTTTAAGGCCAGCCAAGGCAAATGTTAGTGACATCTTACCTAAAAAATATGCTAGGTGTGATAACCTTTAATTCCAACTACTTGAGAAATGGAGGTAGGAGGATCTTGGTCTGAGGCTAGCCTGAAGAAATGTGTGACACTCTTTCTGAAAAATAAACTAAAAACAAAAGGATTGGGGCATGTGGCTCAAGTGGAAGAATAATTCCCCAGGAAACCCTGGGCCTTGAGAGTTCATGGCAAGTTATATATATTGACCACTAATTTCTATATGGGTGTAGGAAAAAAACTTTTACCCTAGAAATTCATGTAGAATGTTCCTGTGTGCAGAATCCATAACACATGTTACATTTCTTTGCACATAATATGAAATATGGTGAGTTTGCTAAGTTTTCAGGAGATAGCATAGGATAACTTAAAGATGTTCTTCCCTTTTCTATATAGGGTAAATGGAGGGGGGAAATTAGATACATTTAATTTGTAATCCCAACAGAAACTCTACTATTTGTGTTCAACAGAGAAACTGGAAATGGAAAAGGCAAATCACTCTTTGACCACTGAATTCATCCTCACAGGATTTGCAGATCATCCAGATCTGAGGACCCTGCTGTTTGTGGTCTTCTCTGCCATCTATCTGATCACCATGGTGGGGAATCTTGGTTTGGTAGCCGTGGTTTACATGGAACGCTGTCTTCACACACCAATGTACATCTTTCTGGGAAACCTGGCTCTGATGGATGCCTGCTGTTCCTCTACCATCACTCCCAAGATGTTAGAGAACTTCTTTTCTGAGGACAGAAGGATTTCTCTCTATGAATGCATGACACAGTTTTATTTTCTCTGTCTTGCTGAAACTGCAGACTGCTTTCTTCTGGCAGCAATGGCCTATGACCGCTATGTGGCCATTTGTAGCCCACTACAGTACCACACCAGGATGTCCAAGGAACTCTGCATTCAAATGAGTATAGGAACCTTCATAGCCAGTAATATACATTCTATGATTCATGTAGGGTTTCTGTTAAGGTTAACGTTCTGCAAATCAAATCAAGTTGATCACTTTTTTTGTGATATTCTTCCACTTTATAGACTGTCCTGTACTGACCCTTATATTAATGAACTCATGATATATATTTTTTCAATGCCAATTCAAGTCTTTACCATTGCCACTGTCTTGACCTCTTACCTCTGCATTCTTTACACTATTTTCAAAATGAGAGCGAAGGGAGGAAGAGGAAAAGCATTTTCTACTTGTGCATCCCACTTTTTTTCTGTCTCAATATTCTATATTTGTCTTCTCATGTATATTCGACCATTTGAAGAAGGAAATAAAGACATACCAGTGGCAATATCTTATACTATTATAATTCCATTATTAAACCCTTTTATTTATAGTCTGAGGAATAAGGAGGTGATAAATGTCCTTAAAAAATTATGGGGAATTACAATGTTTTTAAGAAATCTTCATCCTCTATAGCAAATTGATTTTAGTTCATTAAAATGCTCTCAAAAATAAGAAACACAGAAAAATGTATTTTTGCATAAAATATCTTTCTTTAAATTAAAAAAAATGTATGAATAGAATTTCAATATTGTTTGGCAAGTTTTAATTCAAATCTGACAACCAGAACAAATCAAGAGAAACTCAATTGGAACTGCCTGTTACCAACGCATTACTCCCAAGTAATTGACTTTAGTGTTGTTTCAAGCCTTAGTAAATAAATGTAACATCAGAACTTAAAAGTTTAAGTGTTTAAAACAATATTATTTGATTAATATTGACCAGTTAATTTAAGAAATCTTATGTGATCCTATATAAAGTGTTTGAATCTTTTAAAATTTCCTAGCAGAATAGTGAAATGATTTTCTTTCAGAAATTTACCCCTTCCTTCCTTCCTTCCTTCCTTTCTTCTTTCTGTTTAAATATTTAAAAGATTTACTCCCTCAATAGGAAAAATCTAAGGAAACAAAGTAAATGTAGCTCATATACAAATCCAATTACCAGCTTTCAGAATAAGATGCTTTCTAAAAACCCTATGAAGATCACTAACATTTTAAATGATCATTATAAACTCATAGATTTTTTAAACATTTCCTCAACTTAAATAAGTTGTTAATGATTATTCACTGACTAAGTAAATATTCAACTCAGAAACTTCAGGTTTGTCTTTGAGTCTTTCTGTTACATTCCTAATAGTTTCTTATAGATTTGCTTTTCTTGTGTATAGGGAATCAGTTAATATTGTATAATTGCTATTTTAAAATAACAATTAGAAAATTTCCCAAAAGGTCCTAGTGATTTTGGGGGTATATTTTCTCTGTTAATTTTAAAAAATAAGGACAGAAACATGCCATGCCTAAAAACTTATAAATTCTAATCTCCTTTCTTTCTTATTCAAGTGTTTCTGTGTATATGTGTAGACCTCATGTTTTTATTTTTAAATTTTATGATATAATCTTGAAATTTTTCCATTCCAGTATGTAATAATATTTGTCTTTCACTCATTCTGTTTTATATGATAATATAGTACTCTATAGTGTGTTTCTTTAACTGGTTTCTTATGCATGAGTATTAACAATCTCACCAGTAGATTATTTGGTACTTTATTGATCTTACAACTCTATTGGTTTGTTAGCATTTTGAATTTCTATTTTAGCTATATATCTAGTACTGAATATAGAACTAGGTTTTCTTTCTAAAAAATAGGAAAATTTTGTCATATGTGGATTAAAAATATTTACATTAATTTCTATGGGGAATATGTCATATTATTTTATGTAATATTTACCAATTTTATCATATTCACTATTTATATCATGCTTTTAAAATTTTTTCTTCAGGTGTGTTTTATGATTTTTACTTTAATTCTAGGTGTTCCTTTTGTGTTAATACCTTTATTATGTGCTCAATCTCTCTTTTCTACATTTCTGTCCCCACTCCTGCATTTATGGTACTGCTTTTGGTTTGTCTGCTTTAAATAATATTAACCACAACTACTTATGTGACAATCAAGGAGCTTACTCTAATTTAGCTCTTTCCCTTTTGCTCCATTTCATTTGCTTTCACTTTTGATTGGATTTATTATTATTAATGGCTCTAGGTTTACATATAAGATAGTTCAATGTTTACTTCACTCAAGCGTCCCAAATATTGTCTCACAAAATCATAGCAAACTTACCAAAATTGAGATGTTAACATAACATGGCTAAAATATAAACCTTATTTTGGATATCAGAAGTTTTCCATGAATATCTTATTTCTCTTCATGATCCAATTCAGGATGTCATTTGCCTTTAGCTGTCACCTTCCCTTACTTTTCTCCAATCTGTGACAGTTTCTTGTCCTCCTCTTGTCATTCATTACCTTGCCACTTCAGAACAGGCTTGTTCTCATTTTTGTATAATGTCCTTCTGTTTTGATTTGTCTGATATTTGCTCCTGATTAGACTTTCCTTAGGGGATTTGTGGAGGAATATTATGAAATGGTGATGTTCTTCTCATAGAATCCTAGCAAGAGATACTTGCTATCAACATGCTATCAACATAAAATGGTGATGTTAACCTGAGTCATTTGGTTAAAGAGTGGTCTGCTAAGTTTCACTATTGTGAAGCTTATAAATTTTTCCCTTCCCATAATTCATTCATTACAAAGAGGTCACCAAGTTTAGATAACATATTAAAGGGGAGGGGACTTACACTTTATCTAATCTAGGAGTATGACAGCTTTTGTGGAAATATTTAATATCACATCAGTAACTTTTTAAAAAGTTTTGGGAGAGAGAAGATGCCTTATTAGAGCAAATTCTTGCATTCCCAGAAACTGGAACAAAACAACAAGTGTGTGGCTACAGGGAGAGGTGAGGCATGGAAAGTGCTACATGAGACTAACAGTAAGCAATAGACAAAGGCCAGATGAAATATAGAAATAATGGATTTTAGATTTGTCAAAAGATAGACAGGCCCTAACACTGGGTACTCAGAAACATGGTGGGAAACAAGGAGAATATCCCTTGGTGAAGCTTTTAGTAAAAGAGAGTGTGGCACTCTGAGTGCCACAGACACAGAAGCTGACTCTGTAAAAATATAATTTAAAATGAAAGATCTGTGATTCATACAGTGATCAGACAAGGAGCAACCCGTACTTCCTAGCTTGCTCACTGGTGCCCTGGTGGAGAATCATCTTAAGAGGGGTTTTATTATCAAACCTTATGACTGGAGAGATTAGAGACTGTTGAATTTCTGTATCTTCATTTCTCAATGGCCTCTCCTCTTTAGTGGCTAAGCAAGGGACCAACTGAGAATCATTGTGGGCCCAGGAAACTGGTTGTGACTTGGATGAAGACCCAGGGACACAGGTCTATGTGTAGGCTGTGATGCAGAGGGAAATGGAGGTGTTTCCATTTGGAACAGAATTCTGGAGAGTGGGTGAGACCAACTGTATCTGTATACAAGCGGGCTGGGACAGAGACAAGTGTATCCAGGGGAACCAGTATCACTCAGTGCCTCTACATTACATTCCCACCACATATTGCTTGGGTTGAATTGTCTTTCCCACTTTCAGAGCCCCAGAGAAATTTGATAGAAAAATAGCAGATCCTCAAGGATTTTCCACTCCCATATGAGCGCTAACAGGATACCTATGGTGTTAGGGATCATTCAACAGTTCAGTTCATGGGCTCAGACAGGGATGTGGATTGGTGATGACACCTGAGCTTATTGCATTATTGGTTTATGTACAGAAGTCACTAGTACAATTTTAGCACAGAAGCAGTCATTTTCTTGACTCATACACAGATCAGGTCTCACCTGCCATGGAGTCCTTTCTGGGTTTACCTATTTGGATCTGAGAAAGAAAGCAACTCATAGCCTCTCATCCTCACATGTATGACCGTCAAATGAGAAATCTCAGAAGAAAACAAGTGTTCCCATCTTCCATTTCCTTAGTAATCAAGAGCTATTAACTGTTTTTAAAAATTATTTCATTTTGTTTTGCATTTGTTTCACTTTGTTTACCTCACTTTTTCTTACCTTCATTCCACATACTCTTCCTCTCCTTATCTTGCCTCTCTTTTTTCCTTTCCATGTCATATTAATACTTCAACATTTATTCAGTTTTAACTATAACCAACAAAATATTTTACTTATTTCCACATTTACTTTACAAGAACCTGACCCTGTGCTTTTTGATGGTGCTCAAAAACTTCTTGGTTTTGTGCTTCCCAATTCAAATTTTGATGCTCAATTTGTTGAAAAATTTTTGTGACTCAGCTTTCTCTTGTCACCCTTATATTAATTGCATAGGGAGACTGCATTGTGGTAATTATATATGTGCTTACAATCTACTTTAATTAGATGCAATTCTCCATCATTCTATCTAATCCTCCCTACCCCAATTTCAATGTTTTACTGTTATATTTTGACATAACTATACAAACTATATCAACTATATTCACCTTCCTTCACCCTCTCCATTCACCCTCCTCAGCTCTTACTAGTACCATCCTCCAAACAGGAGCTGTTTTACTTTTCTTTCCTTAACTTTTAAAATATGTATTAATTTTCAAAAGGGTTTCACTGTGGTATTTCACACATACATATATAGTATTTTAATCAGATTAACCCCCTCTATTACTGTCTCTTTCTTTAACCCTTCCACCCCACTATTACTCAACAGTTTCCAGTACATTTTGTTAAGCAATTTTCATAGACACAATGTATTTTGATTGTATTCATGCTCTGTCATTCTCTTGTCCTATTCTTCATACCCCTAGTCCCCTCAAACAGTCCCACTATTACAATCATTTTATATACATATATATGCATATAGTATTATATGTATTTGCATTTATCTTTTAGATATATGAGGAAAAAATGTTATCTTCTGAGCCAGTTTACTTCACCTAACACGATGAACTCCAGATCCATCCATTTAACTACAAGCAATGTATTTTCTTTCTCTTTGTGCCTGATATACCACAAGTATATATACCACATTTTCTTAATCCATTAAAATGAAGGACATCTAGGATGTTTGCATAGTTTTGATATTGTGAATAATGCTGCAATAAACACGGGTATACAAGTGTCTCTATCCTGACTTACAATCATTTTGATATATGCTGAGGAGTGGTATTGATGGATCATATCATAGTTCTATTTTTAGTTTTTTGAGGAAACTTTATACTGCTGTCCATAGTGGCTTCACTAATTAACATTCCCACCAAGAGTGTAAAATGGCTTCTTTTTCCTTCATCCTCACCAGCATTTTTTGTTGATAGTGTTTTTGATGATAGTCATTCTTACTGGAGTAAGGTAAAATCTATATAATATTTTGAGTTGCATTTCTTTATGGCCAAGAATGTTGAACATTTCTTAATTTATTTATTGGCCATGTGTACTTTTTCTTTTGAGAATTGTCTATTCAATTCATATGGCCATTTTTTGTTGGGTTGTTAATTTTTTGTGAGGTTGTTTTTA